CCCCCCCCCCCCATGCTGAAGGCCCAGCGGGAAGAAGAAGACTGTTGTTACGTAAATACAAATAAACACAGAACAGGTTGGTTCAGACCCGTTGGTTGCTGTATAAAAACAATCCCTAACCAGTACGTCAAAGAGTGGGTCTCTGGCAAGGTCACCATGAGGAAGTCTTTTCTTAGGGTGGCAGAATCAGCCCACAGAGAACCAGAGTCCCAAGGCACCCCCTCCCCAAGGCAGGATAGGGGCTCTCTCCAGTGGGATGGAACCCAACTCTTGAGAAAATGTCACCCAGAACTTGGACAGAATAGATTGACCCGATAGCATCAGACACCCACATGGGAATGAGGACTAAAGGCTCTGTGTTTGAATTTAAAAACAAAAAAAACCCAAAAAAACCAGAGATCCCAGGGAGGTCCGTTCCAACTCCCCAGATAAAGACATATTACACGATAAGCTAACCCTTTTGTCTTCCTCAATTCAAAGGACTACACATTTTTTTAGAGAATTCTCTCCTTTAGGGCCATGTGCCGAAATTTATTCAGTTCCACACTGTTGTGATAACAGAGCCTTGGGGAAATAGACAATATGTGGGAGGCCTGCAGTGATTACACGGAGAGCAAAATTGCTCAATTTTTGCTTGACATAAAGGGGAGACTACACGTCAGGGAAATCAATCCGTATTAAAAAGATGAACCACAAGTGTGCTGAGGTCACTTCCTGTTGACCCAGGAAGAGAAGCTTCTGGTTTTCTGAGACTCCACAAGATCAGAGGTTCACGAGTTCACACAAGGCTGTGGAGGGGAAAAGAGACGCCTGCATCACTTCAGTGATTCGGTGATTTGACTTGCCTAAAAATGTCTATTTCTTCTTATAACCAACTGTGCAGGTGCCGTGAGGTCTGCAGTTTAAATGTGGAAAACAGCAGACCCCCCCCCGTGCTCTGCCTCTTTGGCCCTTGCTCTGTGGTCAGAGAACCATCAGCAGTGGCCTCAGAGCCACACGGGTGACCCACGCAGCAAACATCCCCCACCCACAAGGATTTCTGGTCCGTCACCTTGTTTCATTCTTTTTCACACTTATCACTAACCAAAAATTAACTTACGCAACGTGTGCCCCTTGAGAGCGAAGTTCTCTCTGCCTGCCCCGTCCCTGCTTTGCCAATGCCTGGCTCACGGCAGATCACTGGTGCATATTCGATGGATATTAACTTCGTGAACAAGTTGAAGCATGTTTGAAATTTCACAAATACTTTAGTTTCTCACATCGAGCTGGTTATGCTATTGGAGGTGTCCTGATTATAAAGTATCCAACTGTCACTTTAGGGGGCCCTGGGTGGCTCAGTCGGACAAGCGACTGACTTCAGCTCGGGTCATGATCTCGTGGTTCGTGGGTTCGTGGGTTCGTGGGTTCGTGCCCCTTGTCGGGATCCAGCTGTGCTGACAGCTCGGAGCCTGGAGCCTACTTCGGGGTCTGTCTCTCTCTCTCTCTCTCTCTCTCTCTGCCCCTCCCCTGCTCATGCTCTGTCTGTCTCTCTGTCTTTCAAAAATAAATGAACATTAAAAAAATATAAATAAATGAGTAAGTGAGTAAATAAATAAATAAGGATCCAACTGTCACTTTAATAAAGCGGTTATTCATCTAAGATATACGAACACCTACCATGGGCCAGGCAAGTGCCCGGTATCTATGCCAGGAATCCAATGGCCAGCAAAACAGAACGCCTGCCTTAGGAGCTTTCGGTCTGGTGGGAACAGTGGGCAACGAAGATTCGTGAAATAGTAATACAGGTCCGCAGTCATGACCTTGGTTAGCGCTATGGAGGAAAAACACACGAGGCCTTCTGAAGAAGTCATGTCTGTGCTGAGACCAGAAAGATGCATTGACTGGGTGAGTTAACCAAGTAAACTTGCTCAAGAGCAATGAGGGTTGGAGTTAAGAACAGAGTTAGGGTGGGAGTGAAGATTAGGGGAACACAGGGATGGGTTCAGAGAACTTTCCAGAAAAAGGGACTGGTGTGTACCTGTGTCATAGAGGTCAGGTGGATATTGACCAGGAGCGAGTTGATGGCTGCCTGAAATGGAGAGAAAATAAGTGGAGAAAAGAAGACATATTCGGAGTTATTTAGGAGGTAAAAACGATAGGACTCGGTTTGTCCTTCAAGGACATCTCGTGGCTGAGGCATTGACTTTGGCCTTCTCCGGGGCTGGTACCCATGGGGCCCTTCGCGGCTGGCAACCTGTCTCCCAAAGGTGGAAGCAGCCACTGAGCGGTCCTGCGTGTGCCAAATAGATTACGGCACATGGGTGAGCAGGAGCCCCGAGCGAGCGCCCGCCTCAGCTGGCGGCAAGGTTTCAGAACCCGGATGCCGGCCCCGGGCAGGAGGATTCCCGGAGCCCTCACATAGATTACTGTGGGCAGTCAGGTGATTACAAGAGCTCAAGATGATGCTTATTAAAGAAATCAATAAGCGTGTTCCTGAGAACCCACGCTTGAGAGGTAACGTTGCTTTATGGAACCTTACCTGGAACCAGGGTAGCTAAATACAGAACACAGGGAGGACCGGCCCCGGATGTGAGCATCACGGTTTCTTCACCCTCTTGATCAAAGAAAGACTCCAAGGAAAGGAGAAAAAAAAAATAATTAAAAAGCAGAAAACCTGATGTAATGAGATTTAAAAGAAAACTTTTGAAGCCAACAAGCAACCATGGGCAATGCTTCAAAGGGCCCAGGATCAATGTTTGTCAATAGCAGTTTTGCGTCCTTTATCTTTCATGAATAGAGAGTGTGATGTTGTTAGGAGCCCGTCCATGCCTTAATTCTGTTTAGAGATTTGATGAATCAGAATTCCGTTAACATTCTGTCTGAATCAGCGACGGCAAAGGCCTGTAGCGGAAGCCTTACCCGACCGGGGCTTTCATCCCGTGCGTGGGACGGTAGTTAACTATCGGCCCTTCCGCATCGAACACTCGCCAGCCCCCGGGGTGCACCCAGGGGCTGGGGCTCTTTAACCCTGCCACTTCCTTTGGATACTTTCTCCCCAGAAGAGAAACCACCCCGTGACTCAGCCCAGCTCCAAAGTGGCCATTTGTTTAATCAAGATAGTTGGTTTGCAAAACATTAAACAGTATTCGATGCCTAGTTAATAATTGGCATCCTTTGTTCTTGAGTCCTTGGGGACATGTTTCCCCCGTAAAGGCATAGACAGCAAAAGAAATTGTGTGTCGAGCAAAACAAGAGGCCTTCAACTGCACAGATGCTCGCCAGAATGTGTCATCTCCATATTGTGCTGGTAACAGCTCTGGTGGGAAAGGCAGCCATCGGGGTAAGTGTCCTTTTCAAATATCCGTAGTTGAGAGGCTGAGGTTATGAGGCGGACCCGGGTTCGACCCAGGTTCAAGCACCCGGGCCGGGAGTGACTAGAAACTTGGGTTGTAAAAGGCACGTGTTGTCAATCTGAATACATCCTGATTGTAAGAGTCAATGCAGCCTGTAATGTTAGTTGCTGTCGAGAAGCCAAGTCCATGAACCCACGCAACTGACTCGAGCCCTCGGAGCAGAGTCTCCGTGAGCACCTTGCCACTAAGGGGACCGGGGCGAGCAAATCTGCCAAGACGAGGGGCTCGGAGAACCCTTTGGCCTGGATCTCCGAGAACCCTTCGAGAAGCCATTAAAAGCTACAGACTCTTTGCACGTGTTGACAGAGGTACAGTTTTCTGGCCATCTGAGGCAACAGTAGGGGAGGAACCCCTGTGATTCGGCTCGAGGGGAGAATCCTGTTCGTTGCGTATGAGTCTGGTTTTACTTAGGTGGATGAGTTTTGGAGAGAAGCTTCGTGGGTAGCTTTTTCTCCCTTGTCCCTAGCAGATGGGACAAGGAGGGTCAGCAGGGGCCCAAGGGAGGTGGGGGCGAGCAGGGAGAGGAAATGCCATCTGCGGGTCTTACGTGGGGACCGTAGGCATTTGGAAGCAGATGGGCGGTGGAGATGTCGGCCCCTGCTGTGTGCCTTTGTGGTTCCAGAGTGTCAGCTGGATCTCTGTGGGCACAGGAGAGGGGCCATCAACAGAAACAGAGCCTCCTGGGGTTCCCTACCAGATGTGGTTTGAGGCATGAGCATGGGTTTTGGAGCCAGCGCTTTGAATCACAGCTTTGCCACATTCTAGCTGTGGAATATTGGGCAAAACATAATCACGCCGAGCCTCGGTTTCCCCTACTGCAAACCAAGTGACAGATAATCTGTCACAGATTTGGGGAGGGCCATGGCTGATTGGATGAAGCAATGCATTGGCTTTCAATAAATATTAGCGCTTTCCCCTTTAAATTTCCAGAATGAATACGACATCTCTATAAGGGGAGGTTGGGTGGCTCAGTCGGTTAAGTGTCTGACTTCAGCTCAGGTCGTGATCTCACAGCCTGTGAGTTCGAGCCCCGCATTGGGCCCTGTGCTGACAACTCAGAGCCTGGAGCCTGCTTCGGATTCTGTGTCTCTCTCTTTCTGCCCCACCCCCATTTGCTTGTATTCTCTCTCTCTCTCTCTCCAAAATAAATAAACATTAAAAAAATTAAATCAGAGAATGTACCCCTTTGGGGGGGGGCAGGTAGAGAAGAATCAAGGGATGACAACAGAAAGAGCCGTCATAACCCCTTTATCTTATTAAATACCTTTGCATTTTATTTCCCATTCTATTCCATAGAGCTTTCCCTGTAGGCAGCAGATTAAATTTCAGATTTTCTCATTAGATGCTTCAAAACCAAGAGCTTCTCCTCCCCTTTCGGTAAACTTTCCTCAGACACCTTCCTTTGGCCCATATTAAGCTGTCAAGTGACTCACCTCTGAGAGAATTTTCTTTCACCAGTGATGACTGGTATATGTGTGCTGTGGCTGCAGTTACAAATTTTCAAGCCCCTACATCATTTGATTGCTTGGTGGATGTCTGGGGACAAGACCCAGCAGAAATACCATAGGTCTAGAGGAAGAGGTGGAAATTATCAGAGGCCCACAAGGGGCCCAGAGAAAGTACCAGTCGGAAAGAATTAGATCCTAAAGTTTGCAGGCAAGGAGAGAGTTGATGCAGTCTGTTTGAAGTTCACACAACGGTAATGGTCCCAAAAACTCCCTTTGGTGCAAGCCCCAGTGAATTTTTAGGGTTAGCAATGAAATTATAAGTCAATAATGGATAAAAGAGAAAATATGAGAGATAGCCTTCGGGCAATGAGCTTAGTCAGTTCCAAAGAGAGGATTCAGGGCTTTGGAATGTTTTCTTACCCCAGATGTGTGCCAGACAGGTGGTCGGGAAGGCGGCTTGCGTTCCACGGGCCAGTCCACAGACATCCAGGGGAAAGTGGCCAACTCGCTCAGATGCTTTGGAGAGTGCAGGGGCATCATCGAGGGGAGGGAGCCACACAGCCAGATGGGCTGGGCAGTCTCTTCCACCCCACGTAGCTAAAAATAATCACCAACTGTTATCATTTAATGAGAAATCCTGTGGGCCAGGTTCTTTCTTTACAGTGGATCGGTTCATCTCTGGGAGGACCCTAAGAAGTAGGTAGTGTTATTGTTCCCATTTTACAGGTGGGAAGATGGACAGCTTGGCCTCTAGTCAAGCTGAGCTCTACCCTACAGGCTGCTGTCCACTGTCTGGATGAGGTCTTTCGCCTGGACTCGGGCTGAAGATGAGATTTCTTCCATCCACAGAGCTTCAGGGACATGGTCCTCTGTGTAGGGGCAGGAAGCTCTTAGTCCAGGGGTTTGTTTGCGATCTCCATGTGCCCCTGGAACTTTAAAGAAAAGTGGTCACAGGATCTACAATCACTATCCATTGGGAGGATGTGTGGACACTCTCCCATGAATTTAGGTCATGCAGCAAACCCTATAATGAGTTCTCCATGGGCTCATCTCTAACTTAGATTTTTATTCAGATATCCGTGATCCAAAGAGGTATTGGACAAATGTTATTGTCATGGACACCAGAAATTCATTCGAAGTGCCTTCCTGGCCTGAGCTAGAGTTGGTTTTCCTGAATGAACACCTGTCTCCAGCACAGCCTTGTACTGTTGCCCCTGTGCTATGGATGAGAAACGCACCCAGAGATGTTCAGCTAACTTCCCAGCCAGGACCAAGGCTCAGATCTGTCCCACTCCTTGCCCGTTACAGGAGACCCACTCAACTGTATTGAGGATGTGCACCATGCCCAGGGCTCAAAAATCTCTTCTTGCTGTGGTTCTTGGCCACTGGGCTTGGCCATAATGGAATTTGACCTTCTCCAGGGTCAGAAGCCAGAGGACAAGGCTTGGCAGGCCATCCCTAGAGAGGACAGAAGACAATGGCTTTTCTCTCCCCAGCAATGCACCTTATAATTAAAACACATGTTTGCTCCCATGTCTAGACTCCTTAAACCCTCGAGTTTAAACTCAACAACTCTAGAACTCTAGTATCCTCCCAGGTAGAGCACCACAGAAAGTTTTGAAGGGACCCGAATCTGCAAACTGGCAACTTGGGAGTCCATTCTGCTCACAGACTGAGTTTTCTTTAGGGGGTAAAAGGTCAGCCGAAGAGTATTTTAATTTTCTTTCAATTGTTTGGCAACATTTGCAAATCAGAACACTTCACATAGAAGCACAAATCCCCAGCTTTTCTTGAAAACCGGACATTTTATTTTTTATTATTATTATTTTTTACGTTTTTATTATTTTTATTTTTTTGAGACAGAGAGAGAGAGAGAGAGACAGAGTGTGAGCCGGAGGGGCAGAGAGAGAGGGAGACACAGAATCCGAAGCAGGCTCCAGGCTCCGAGCTGTCAGCACAGAGCCCGACGCGGGCCTCGGACCCACAAACTGTGAGATCATGACCTGAGCCGAAGTCAGATGCTCAACCAACTGAGCCACCCAGGCACTCCCAAACCAGACATTTTAGTAACATGGGGCTCACGTACCTGCTTGGCACCAGCCAGATGAGGGGCTACCATTCCCAGTTTCAGAAGAAACTTGAGCGCGCCCCCCCCCGCCCCCCACCGAGTCCATAGGCCCTACCACTCTCTACCACTGATACTCTTTTGCTGGATGGATTTACATTATCGGCCAGGTTCTAAGTTGGAGAGAGAGACAGAGACAGCCCGGGTTGTCTGTTATTATGCAGAAACACTATGGATGTTGAAGGATTGGAGCCTGTTTTGGATGGTCAAGTAACTGGGTTCAGCGTCTGATTAATTTCAGGGTTCACATCTGCACAGCCCCCAGGACCGAACTAGGCCTTTGATGGGAAAGTAAGAGCCACCCCTTTCTAAGCCTCAAGGTTCCAGAATATCCAAGTCTCCTTCAGGCCCAGGAAGGACGTCACTCCCTCTTGCTGGAACCACAGAGTCTTAAGGAAAAGAGAGGGACTGAAGTTCACTGCGACTTCTTACAGATTTTTTTTATACAAAACTGATCCAAAGCACAATTCCAACTCATTAGCTTTGGCGGTATATGCTGGTATTTAGGGAAATCAGGTCGCGGGAAATCGCATGTGTATATAGGCACAGATGTATTTATATTTTAAATTCATTAAGGTTCCCTAAATGCAAAAGGAATTCTGCTGTCACAGAGAAACAGCATGGCAGAATATTCGGCAGCCGGGATTTTAAATAAAACATGCTTTTTCTTCATAATTAATATAACAAGGTTTTCTGGCTTAGGACTTGGCAAAGATCCCAGGAAAAATAAGGGGGTGGACTGGTGTGACGTGCCTGTGACCCGACAAACAAGTTCCATGAAGAGTTTATGCTTAGCAAGCTCTCCTTACTCGTGCCCATGATTTGCAAGAGGAAAAAAAAAAAAAAAAAAGCAAAGCAAAGAAAAACTCAAACTCTCCAACAACAGTAGCTAATAATCATAATCATAGCACAACCATTTTGTGCAAAGTCTCCTATGTGTGTGTGATGAGATGCACATGTGCCTAATGTTTATTACTTCATTCCCAAGTGCCCAATGGCTTGGGCACCCATATCATCCTTATTTGACAGATAGGAAACTAAGCTACAGAAAAGCTAAGGAATCTGTGTGTGCCACCCAGAATACAGAATGGGGATTCAAAACCTAACCTTACAAGCCCAAACCGGTTTCTTAATGTGTTTGTTAAACAGAGTTACCTTTTCTCTAGCTCAACAGATTTGTTTTTAAAGGAAATTGTCACTACTATATTGGAAAAAAAAAAATTAAAGAAAATGACGTCACTGAATTCTAACTGGCTACGCGCCGCCTTAAATGCTCAGAGCCTGAAAACCTGCTTTCTCGGGAAGTTGGAAGGGAGGCTAGCAAGAGGTGAGAGGATAGAGACTCGGCAGCACC